TTCGCCACGCACACACCCGTTCGTGGCTGGAGTTTTAACCTACCGGGTCCGGGACGCGAACCACGGTTGACTACATGGGAGTCCAGTGACATAGCCATTACGCTAACTGCTGGTTCCCTCAATGCCTTTCTGTAACGGTCAGTCAACAGGTAGCCCCAGCAGTCACTGGCTAAGCGGGATTCTAACGATCCTTCCTAGAATTCTCCAGCCTGTTTCCTCCTCTAAAGTTATGAAGAAACTGGGCCCTAACACTCGGCCTCAGTGCCTTGTGAGGAGCTGCCCCTTTGGAGATGGCCAGTTTCTGTCATGGACTAGCCATGTGGACTACTCCAACGGACTCTTCATAGCATCTTATTAAGGCTGGGTAGCTGCCCTCCTCCAGACTTATCCTGGTCCTGAGCAGTGGACTTCAGAAAAGGCATAATTAAGGGACCAGCAGTTGTGTGGTGGCTATGTCGTTGGGCTCCCATGTAGTCGACTGCGGTTCGCGTCCCGGCCCTGGTGGCTTAAACTCATGCCAGGCGCATGTGCGTGCATGCCCAAGATCCTGAGAGGAGAATGGAGGAGAAGGGATTGTGGTGTGGCCATCCCCCCTGGGGGGTGATTTCTCGCTTTCTGTCTCTCTGTCTCTCTCTGTCTGCCTGGTAAGCACACGCACCCTATAGCAAAAACCTCTCCAAGAAAAGAAAAGGCATAATTAAAAAATCCCAAGTCAGCCTAGACCCTAGGCTGCAACTGGAGATCCTTACTAAAAACTGGTGAGAGAAAAAAGGATTCCTAGAATTCAGAGATGTCATCTGAGCTGAAGAAATAGGCCATGTTGGCCAACAACGGAGAAGGCGCAGTTAGGGAGGACATGTCTGCCTGGTCTGTTACAGTTGGGGGTGCAGGATGATGAGACAAGCCCTCAGGGTCAGCAGGAGCCCCAATGAGACGCCTGGTGGTTAATGTGGCCCATTAACCCACACTAAGGGGCGGGGGCTGCCTGAGTGCCCCGGGGGGGCATTAGTGACAGATCTGCCCACCGTGCCACATGTAGCTGTGAGTTTCTAGCCTCAGATGGAAGCTGTTATCTGCCCAACTGGGTCCCTCTGTCTTCTGTGTGTGGCGAGACGCCATGGATCTGTTTTTACCAAATACACAATTAAAAAGTCACACTATTAGGAAACTCAGCAGTGTGAACATATGGGCTTCTCCCAAGACTTAGAATTTTTTCAGAGCTGCTCTGAGAGTGGCAGGGGGGGGGGGGGGGGGGGGGGATGGCAGGGGGGTGGGGGGTGGGTCACAACTCCCCAGCACAGCAAAATGAAGACCTAGGGGAGAAAAAGCAAGCACACCAACATCCCCCCTAAAAGAGCAGCCACGAGGGTTTGGAGATTCTGGAGCGGAGAGCCGTGCATTTCTCAGCCCCCTTTTTGGAACACGCAATCCCAGGCTTGGAAAATGGCATTTTGCTGCGTGTTGGCAAGAAATCCTGCAGCTGAAACACTTCTCTCCAAATGTCGAGCATCTTTATTTATCCAAATCTCTCCACAGTGTTTGTTTAAAGGGGAGCTCTAGAGAGTAAACTAAATCTTACAATGAGCATATGGATGGCTATAATTGCTGAGGGGGTTTTTTTTATTCATATTTGCTAACTCGCTATATATAAAATTGTGTTTCTATTTTATAGATTTCACACCCTGAAGGCTGCTAATTTTTGCATGCATATGATTTTCACATGAATGGAGGAAAATACTAAAATACGCTTCCCTCTGAGATTGTCTGATGGCCCTGACCCTGCTCCAAGAGCAGCTCGTGGGTGGAGGTGGGAGAGACGCCTGCAGGCCCTCTGGCTTCCACTCCCTGGAAGGTCCCCTGGCCTCTGTCCACTCCTAAATCGGCTCTGCTATCTTCCAACCCCATCAGTGCTGGAGCCTGTGTCAGGAAGAACCCCTGCCTGCTCCCCAGTGCCTTTCATATTGAGCCATCTTGCCAACCTTCCCTTTGAGATTTTTAAATAACGGAAATGACATCAGCGTCTGAATTAGCTGGTTATGGGAAACCCAGACTGCAACGAAGACCTTCATGTATAGCTCCTCAAGGAAAACAAATACTTTGGTTTAGCCATTGGTTTCAGCTTCCTATCCCACCAAACCACCAACCTCATTTTCATGCCTCTCTCTCTCTCTCTCTCTGGCCCCATGCACCCCCTGGTGGAGAAGTGAAGAAGCAGGAAAATGGCCTGAAGTTTGGGCCCTTGGCTACTCTACCCAGCTGACAGGTAGAAGAGCTAAGGCCTAAAGAAGAAAACAACTTCCCAGGGTCACAGAGGGAGGAGACAGTGACAATGCTGAGAATTGTCACCTGGAGCACACCCCACTGCCAACACCCCTCCAAGACATTTTTATGCTTCCCTTAAGGTTGTGTGTCACAGCTCTTAGCTTTCTCACCACTCATGTACGAGTGAGTGTTCAGAAGGCCAGAGCTTCCCAGGGTATGGTGGGAGATTCAGAGACAGGAAGGCATCTTTGCTGTCTGCAAGTCTCTTCCAGGTAGTTAAGGATGTCCAGGGCTGTGCAGGAAGAGGAGTGGGGAGGTGCTGACAGTGAGGCTGCCAGCAGGAGAGGGGCGAAGGCTCCCCGGGGCCGCCCCCCACTTCTGAAAGATGAGATTGGAGCCTGGGAGGTGGAGAGGTTCCAGACAGTAGCTGGAGCACCGAGTGTGGTTAGAACATGCATGGTGTTGACTTGGGCAGTGGGAGCCCATGCTCCATAGCCATGAAGCAGGCGTCTCAGCCCTTCCTTCTGCAGTGCCGGTGGCTACGTGTGGACAGTCAGCCTTAGACGCTATAACATGCAGGAGAACCCAGCTCTGGAGTCAGATGCGAGTCTTGTCCCAGCTCCATGTTGGCGGGCTAACCCAGATCAGGACCTTAACCTCTCTGATCCCCACCTGGGAACTGGGTATTGGGCAGATTGAGAAGTCCATACATGGGACTGGAAGTAGTGGCATGATGGTTAAGGGGGCTGGACTACCACATGGCCAACTGTGGTTCGAGTCCAGGACCTGACAGCTCGCTCGCGCTCTCTCTCTCTCTCGCTCTCTCTCACTCTCTCTCGCTCTCTCTCACTCGCACGCACACACACACACAGGCAAATTAAAATAAATAAAAGTTAAATAATTTTTGGAGAGGTTTTTGCTATAGGGCATGTGCACTCACCAGAAAAAGAGACAGACAGACAGAAAGCGAGAAATCACCTCTGGGGGGGGATGGCCACACCACAATTTCTTCTCCATTCTCCTCTCAGGATCTTGGGCACACACGCACATGCACCCAGCATGAGTTTAAGCCACCAGGTCCGGGGACTTGAACTGTGGTTGACTACATGGGAGTCCAGCAATGTAGCCATTACACCAACTGCTGGTCTCAAAAGAAATTTTTTTTTTTTTTGCCATAGGGCAGGCACCACCACGCCCATAATTTTTTTTTTTTTTTAAAAGAGAAGCCTGCACATCCAAGGTGCCTGGCGCAGTCCCACCCTCAGAAGAGGTGCCGTGTGGAGTGGGTTTTTTCCCTGCCCCTGGTAATGAGACAGCAACGTGCAGGCCAAGTCCTAGGGAAAGGGAGCGGTGCAGAGTTCTGTTCCAGAGAAGGGGACATTGGTGTGAAGAGGCAGGAAATAAGCCCCTACTGTGTGAGGCATTGGTGAAAGCTGGGAGGGAGAAAGCAGGGGAGAGGGATGCTGGGCAGGGAGGTACAATTCATGCATGATGCAGAAAGGCTTCTGTGACTGACAGAGCTGGAAAGGTGAAGGCAGGGAGAGTAAGCAAGCCTTGAGAGCTGCTCTGGGACCGGCATTCCGGGCAGAGGGAACAGCAGTACAAAGGCCCTGGGGTCGAAGAGAACTGGGATGGAGCGAAGGAAGGGGAGCATTGTATGGGGGCAGAGAGTAGTCAGGGGCCAGATCTGTGTGGCCTTGAAGGCCACGGCAGGAGGTTGGCTTTCACTCTGTGCAAAGCCACTGGGGGTGCTGGGCAGGGGATGACAGACTGACTGTGACCAGCTATTTATAGACACCAGCCTCCATCCAGCCCTGTGCTCACCATGAACTCGGTCAGAGGCTGGCTGAATCTGAGCACAACTTGCCCTCCACATGGGCCGTGACAGTCCTCTGCATCCTCCTGGGGGGCACACCAGACCCCCTCATCCCCAGGTGGCACCATGCATATATTCTCTTTGTCCTTAGAGTCCCTGTCACCAACATAACCCTTTCATGTTACGTTGTCCCCTGCAGAATTCCAGCTTCCTGTGACTGAACCTGACATCAACAACAGGTTGGAGTCCTTGTGCCTCAGTATGACCGAACACGCCCTGGGAGGTAAGTGTGTCCTTCCCGTGTGACCTCGTCACTGCCTGCCTGGAGGAACTGTGGCCACCTGCTGTCTACACTCTAGCAGTAGCTAAGAGGAATGGGGAGGAGACAGGGAGGGGGGCTAGGCGGGGACACGGGGAAAGGGCAGCCTTGGAGTGCCGTTGGACATTCCGCCAGCCACACCACACCAGGCAGCCTGCAGTAGCCTGTTCCTCTTCCTCCTCTGGGGGTGAATCAAGGACCTGGAAACCAAAGCCATCCCTCTTTTCCCAGAAGCCCCCTCCCAGTGCACACTGCAGCCACACACAGCAGTTGTCCCAGCCAAGTGTCGGGAGCTGGCGGAGTCAGGCACACAAGGCACGGCTTTCAGCAGAAACGTCCCCCACAGTGCTGGATGCTTTCCTTCTCGGCACTAGATCCCCCAGTCTGGGCCAAGCATAGCCCAACTTGCTCTAAAAATAGAATTTTTGAAATAAAAATCTCTGCTTGTTTTCCTCTTTCCCTGTTGCAAATAGCTTTCATGACACCAGGGCCCCGAGCAGTATGAGGCACCCTTCACAGTGTGACAGGGACAGGTCGAGGGGACATATCTGCAGCCAGACCAATAATGTGGGTTACAGCATGCAGCCTGCGGCCCCACGAGGAGTCACAGGAGCAGCTGGGCTTCCCCCATCTGTTTGGTCTGAAGCCCTGGGAGGCCTTCAGCTCCCTCCTGGTAGTAAATGGGCACCTTTCTCCACAGGTCTGGGTATTTGTGGGTACTTGGCAAAGGAGAGGAGACGTCCACCCCTTCCTGCCAACTTCCTGGAGGCTCCGAGTCACGGAGATCTAGAGAGGCTTCCTGTGAGCCTTCCCGACAGCCCTGTGCAGTCTGGATGGCTTACTCACCCAGGAGCGGGCCATCGGCACACCTCCAGCCAAGATGTATGCTCTTTGGCAGCAGTGGGGTGAAAGGCTGCCACCGACTCCTGCTTCAGACAGCTTTGCCCTCCAAACAGGGGTTCTTTAGGTTGCTAGTCTCTTACCCTGAACCCAAATAGGAGACAGGAATGTCCTCCATGGAGCAGAGTGGAAGGCCAGGACTGCACCCACCTGCCTTCTGGAGAGCTGAAGGCTTCCCACACACACAGGCTTTTTTGTAAGCCCCCTGCTCCCGTCAGCCATTCAGACCCCAGGAGCATCCCAGCATCGTTGGGCTGTGCCTGGTACCCCTGACGGGAGGTCCCCCCTCCACTAAGACGATGAGGTCAGTGGCCCTCTAATGAGTAATGAGAAACAACCCCAATGCTCCCCACTGAGTGAGTATGAATCAGCAAACTGTGACACAGCCACACAGTGGAATAGCACTCAGCCTGAAAGAGGAAAGACACACGGACACATAGACGAACCTTGACACTGTTACCCCGAGTGAAGCAAGTCAGACGTGAGCAGCCACGTAGCGTGTGATTCCATCTGCATGAAATGTCCAGCGTGGGCTTATCTACAGGGATGGAACGCAGATTAGCAGCGGCCAGGGACTGGAAGGAAGTGGGATTCAAGAGTGGCTGCTAATAGGAACCAGATCTCTTTTGGGGGTAATCAAAATGTTCTGGAATTAGGGATGGTTGCACAACTTCGAGAAGATACTAAAAACCACTGAATTGTACATTTTGAAAGGATGAAATTGATGGTATGCAAATTACATCCCAATTAAAAATTTAAACGAAGTAACGAGAGTCTTCCTGGAGCCGCTGTTAGGTCAGTAGTTGGTGAGTGAGCCCCCCAAGCCGGCACCTGCAAAGCTCCGGCACCAGGAGGGGAGCCGCTCCAGACCCTGAGTGCCGGCAAGCCCAGCTCACTGTGGGCCCAACAGCGCCTGGCCAGCCCGCTGGCTTGGTCTTTCCCTGCCTCAGAGTCAGCAAGCAGAACTGCCTTCTTCCCTCAGGGCTTGATATATCTCGGATAATTGGCATGTTGGAAGCACTTATCAAACTGCTAAGTACTAACATCATCATCATTAGTAGCAAGAATGCCAAATGATCTTTATTAAAGGGAGGTTTTCATTGAAAAGACTTCATTTTTTAGTGCATTCTTCTATTTTTACAGAAAACCTCCCCGAACTGATGGCTTTCTGCTAATGTTTTCATCTTGTTAATCTCCTAAGCCTTTTTATTGCTGTGTTTTTCCTCAATAATCCCCTCTGGTGGGAAGCCTCGTGAGCAGTTTCTGGAGCAGAGAATGCAAATTAAGTTCAGGGTGGCCTCGTTGGGCACAGTGGCAGTGTGTTCCCTCACTGTGACAAGGCCCTCTCTGCAGCCAACCCCTTCCAGGTGCCAGGGAAGATGGCCTTACTGAGACGGGTGCAGTGGAGTAAGTCATTCTGTGGGAAGAATGGGGAAGGGAAGGCAGAGTAAAACACGTCCCTCTGCTTGAGGCTCAGAAGTGGAGGAGGATGGCGTCGGAGTTCCTGGGACATGCAGCCAGTGTGACCGTCAGCATGACCGGCCTGTGCCAGGCCCTGGCTGGCTGTCCTGTGTACTGACAACTCTGCTCTCGGTCCCTTTCTGCTGTCCTGGTGCTCGCCCTAAGCCACTTTTCTTTTTGGTTTTCCCTTGCCATCTCCTCTTTCTTCCCAGGCTACTCCCAGCAGAACAGCTGGGATACCCAGGTGATGGGTTTCCTCTGCCATTTTGGTTTACAAGTCTTTTTTTTTTTTTCTGATTTGTTAATTTTTAAAAATGTAATATGCACTCACCGTAGGAGAGGGGAGAAAATGCACACAAAAGAGCGTGATGAGAAATTACCTCCCACAGGGGACAGTCATGCCATAATCCCTTCTCTTCTACTTCTCCTTTTGAGATTTCGGGCATACACATACGTGCACTGGTGGGTTCTCAGGCCAACACGTCCGGGATCAAACCACACAGTCAGTCATACAGGATCCAGCCACCCTAACCATGAAGCCACTGGCTGACCTGTCTTTTAGGCTTCTATCGAGTTCCACTGGGCTTGCTCCTACTCAGTGGCTCCTGGGGTCAAGAACTGGCCGTTATTGTTCCACTGCAAAGGGGCTCTGGGCACACAGGACCCACAGGTACAAAGCAGGGCTCCTCCCTACAGTCTGTGTGACACCATCCGTTCGTGATGTCCCAGGGCTCACACTTCAGGGGATCCCCTTGCTATTCTCATCTTCTCTCCTTACCCTTTCCTAGGACTTACCAGCCCAAAGGCAGGCTGGCAGGGAGACTGCAAATCAGCGAAAGGCTTTACTTTTTCAAGGCACCACACTGACATTTAGTAGAAATTTGGCGTAACGATAAAGCTGATGATAGAACTGCAGGTGAACAGTGCCCGCTGAGTTGCGCGGTGTACAGCTTCACAACTACAAGTGGTCAGCCTGGGCTTATTGGTCATTACCCCGAGATGAATACTGTCACCCTTGGAGGACAAGTCATAGGTTGGAATTCAGTGAAAATGCAGTTGGAGATTGGTTAGCTGAGGTTTTCTTGTTTCCAGTTCTCCACCTTTATAGCCATGGAGGTTTAGCATTAATAAGTGGTCTAGTGAACCCCAATTAGAGTATATATTGCAGTTCTACAGAAGAGGAAGAGACCTCTACAAATATCCCCCCCCCAACAGAGAAACCCTTACCAATACCCAGATGTGTGTGCACCTGAACACACATCCCCATCCTCCTGTGAGTCACCACGACAGAGCCGCTACTGAGAAGGCTGAGGGTGACACGTGCAGAAGGTGAGAGAGGTTACTGACTAGAAGTTCACTTCAGTGGGCCTCTGGGGCTGATGGTCAGGCACTGCAGCTGCTCTCTGGTGCCATTACTCCCTTTCTTTAAAATATCCCCCACATTGCATAGAACTGAATGCACACGCTCTCAGATGTTCAGGTACGAAGAGAGACATCTGGCTAAGACCCGTGGATGGTATCAACACCAGTATCTCAGTTGCGATATTACACTGTAGTTTGGCAAAACGTTGCCATTGGGGGAAATACATGTGGCATCTCTCTGGACTGTTTCTTATACCTGCATTTGATCTCAACAAAAATTTCTGTTAAAGCATTTAGTGGAACCAGCAGATAGCATAGTGGTTACGTTGTTGGACTCCCACATAGTTGATCGTGGTTCAAGTCCCAGATCCGGTGGCTTAAAACTCATGCCGGGTGTGTGTGCATGCACACCCAAGATCCCAAGACTAGGATGGAGGAGAAAGGAGTGTGACAGGGCCATCTCCCTTGGTGATCTCTCATTTTCTGTTTCTCTGTTCCTCTCTGTGTCTCTACAGTGAGCGCACACACACTATAGCAAAAATCTCTTTTAAAAAAAAAAAAAAAAAAAAAGATCTCTCTCTCCTGAGTCCCTGATGGCAGTGTTGCCAGCCTGGTACCACCAATGAGGAGGCCAGGAACTCCCTGTAGGAGACTCTGTGGCCCTGCATGTCCCGTGTTCCCTGGAACACTCTACCGTTCTTCATCTTTTACTGGGGCTTGGGGTAAGAGGGAGATACTTCCAAAGTCAAGGAGGTGAAGTGGACAGATCTACCTATATGTCTACTGCAGCCACTGCCAGGCTTTTCTGCCCCACCTCCCATCAGTCCATTCTCCCATACTCTGTCCAAAAGTCCAACCCAACCCCCATTCAGCAACTTGTCACCCTGTACATGCTCTGTAACCCTCATCTTTTAATTCGTGATAGAGCACATGTGTACACATTTGAGAATGAGAGGGGAGCATCCTCCAGGGATCCAGTCGTGCCCCCCCCTCTAGTCCTCTAGCCTGTCATATCTAGGACACTCACATGTAAGACCAACATGGCTGACCAGGCATGGGATTCAAACCATGGGCTGGCTCCTACTCAGTGGCTCCTGGGGTCAAGAACTGGCCGTTATTGTTCCACTGCAAAGGGGCTCTGGGCACACAGGACCCACAGGTACAAAGCAGGGCTCCTCCCTACAGTCTGTGTGACACCATCCGTTCGTGATGTCCCAGGGCTCACACTTCAGGGGATCCCCTTGCTATTCTCATCTTCTCTCCTTACCCTTTCCTAGGACTTACCAGCCCAAAGGCAGGCTGGCAGGGAGACTGCAAATCAGCGAAAGGCTTTACTTTTTCAAGGCACCACACTGACATTTAGTAGAAATTTGGCGTAACGATAAAGCTGATGATAGAACTGCAGGTGAACAGTGCCCGCTGAGTTGCGCGGTGTACAGCTTCACAACTACAAGTGGTCAGCCTGGGCTTATTGGTCATTACCCCGAGATGAATACTGTCACCCTTGGAGGACAAGTCATAGGTTGGAATTCAGTGAAAATGCAGTTGGAGATTGGTTAGCTGAGGTTTTCTTGTTTCCAGTTCTCCACCTTTATAGCCATGGAGGTTTAGCATTAATAAGTGGTCTAGTGAACCCCAATTAGAGTATATATTGCAGTTCTACAGAAGAGGAAGAGACCTCTACAAATATCCCCCCCCCAACAGAGAAACCCTTACCAATACCCAGATGTGTGTGCACCTGAACACACATCCCCATCCTCCTGTGAGTCACCACGACAGAGCCGCTACTGAGAAGGCTGAGGGTGACACGTGCAGAAGGTGAGAGAGGTTACTGACTAGAAGTTCACTTCAGTGGGCCTCTGGGGCTGATGGTCAGGCACTGCAGCTGCTCTCTGGTGCCATTACTCCCTTTCTTTAAAATATCCCCCACATTGCATAGAACTGAATGCACACGCTCTCAGATGTTCAGGTACGAAGAGAGACATCTGGCTAAGACCCATGGATGGTATCAACACCAGTATCTCAGTTGCGATATTACACTGTAGTTTGGCAAAACGTTGCCATTGGGGGAAATACATGTGGCATCTCTCTGGACTGTTTCTTATACCTGCATTTGATCTCAACAAAAATTTCTGTTAAAGCATTTAGTGGAACCAGCAGATAGCATAGTGGTTACGTTGTTGGAAAAAAAAAAAAAAAAAAAAAGATCTCTCTCTCCTGAGTCCCTGATGGCAGTGTTGCCAGCCTGGTACCACCAATGAGGAGGCCAGGAACTCCCTGTAGGAGACTCTGTGGCCCTGCATGTCCCGTGTTCCCTGGAACACTCTACCGTTCTTCATCTTTTACTGGGGCTTGGGGTAAGAGGGAGATACTTCCAAAGTCAAGGAGGTGAAGTGGACAGATCTACCTATATGTCTACTGCAGCCACTGCCAGGCTTTTCTGCCCCACCTCCCATCAGTCCATTCTCCCATACTCTGTCCAAAAGTCCAACCCAACCCCCATTCAGCAACTTGTCACCCTGTACATGCTCTGTAACCCTCATCTTTTAATTCGTGATAGAGCACATGTGTACACATTTGAGAATGAGAGGGGAGCATCCTCCAGGGATCCAGTCATGCCCCCCCCTCTAGTCCTCTAGCCTGTCATATCTAGGACACTCACATGTAAGACCAACATGGCTGACCAGGCATGGGATTCAAACCATGGTCACCATATAGGATTCAGTTTCTCTGGAGCAGCATATCACTGTGCCATGGAGCCAGCCCTTTTGCTTCCTTTTTCAGCCTGGCATACTCTTCTCCTGCCAGCACCATCAATGGAAGTCATTTCATATGTCTATTGAACTTTCCTTCATTTCCAAGTCCAACTTAACATTTCTCCCTCCACGTTCCCACTGTCTTAGTATATACTGTATTGTGGCAGTTACCTCATAGCATCATTGTTTACAGAGTCTGTGTCTTGCCTAGAATGCAAGTGCCAAGAAGGTAAGGATTAGCTCTTTTCCTCCTGGTACTATGGCAGAAATAAATCTATTCCCCAGATGTTGGGTGGTGGGTGTACAAGTGAATGAATGAATGACTTTAGCCCTTATCCATCCTCAGAGACGGAGAGTGCCAACATGGATGGTGTAGACATGGCAGTGGGCACACACACATGTTCTGCTCACCTATGCCCTTTGTGCATTGCTTTCCCAGACGGGGTTGACCGGACTTCTACAATCTAGAAGCCGAAGATGAGAGTGACCGCGCTGGCCGTGAAATCGACTGCTGCGGGTCCAGTGTCTGCCACCTTCAGGGTTGCACAGAATCCACCAAGATACTCTGCAGCCTTTTTTCCCTGGTCCCTCTCCCATTTTGATTTTGTGAGAGCGTAGGTCATCCTTGTAAACATATCAGTAGACCTGGGATTGGTTATGTTGTCATTTGTTTCTGTCATGGGATGGTTTGGTGTGCAGGGTAGGGAGGGTCTCTAGGGAAATGTGGAGCTGGGAGGTGGGCGGAGGAAATATAAATGGCTTCCTGGATGGAAAGAGAAAGGGAAAACAAAAAGTACTGCCATGAAAGAGATAGGAGGGAGGCAGAAGCCCCAGCCCTGGGAAGCCTTCTGGCTTCACGATCACGCCAGAAGTGTATCATGAGTACATGCGACCAAAGCAAGATGGCGGCTCGCCCTTTCGTATCTCCCCACGTAGATTTCCCTGAGGCCCTGGCCTGAAACAGCCACAGGAGAGGGTCACAAGGCAACAGAGGCGAGAAGGGAGAAATCCCCTCCGACAAAATTTCAGATAAACTTTGTTTTGTGTATTGTTTACATAACAATTTTAAAGGGTACATAATGTGTAAAGGGTTTGGGTAGAACTTCTCTTCATACTATGGTTTTTGTAAAGGATTTTTCGTCATTATGGATTCATTTTTTTCCTCTATTTTTATAATAGCAGCAGGGTTGTCTTTTACAGTGGCTGTGCAGCTCACTTCTGGGAAGATGGATGCAGTCATGTAGGCCTGGGTTGTCCGTCTTCCACCACTAGGTGGCGGGACTGTGTGGGTGGATTGGAAGGGCCAGGATGTGGTGGCGGATTGAGCACGGTACTTGGGCGAGGGCATGAGGACGATGGGATGGCAACGTGTGATCAGTTACGGGTTTGCTTGCAGGTCACCCAGCGATGCTGAAAGAATCCTGCGGGCCTCTCTCTGGACTGGATTTGCTTCCGATCTTAGACCTCTCTTGATTCCCACCCTCCCCCTGGGGCTCTGTCCTATCCTCCCTGCTCCTCTCCATACACACACGGTGGGGATGTCTGCAGGAGAGATGGCGAGGCCGGGGGCTCTGCCTTCGTGAGAGGTCTAGTGCCCAAATAGTGAGCTCAGAGCATTTAGGGTGAGGGTGCTCATAAAAAACCTGGGTCTCAGGTCTGCGTGCCCTCCTCGAGCCACTGATGAAGAGGAAAGGAAAGCCCAGCGACAGTGTATAAAGGGTCAGTCAGCAAGTGCCAGAGAGAGCCTGTGGGGAGAGGCTTGGAAGAAGATAGAGGAAAGGTTCATCTCACGATGAAGCAGTGGTCCCGTCCATGCAGTGTAAGTCAGGGATTTGCTGAGTTGTTGGCTGATTTATCCATCCACACAGAGGAGGGAAGGAAAAAAAATTCATTACATGGTGAGAGATTAACAAACTATGGTACCGCAAAGTAATAGCTCTATTTCTCTAGGGCAGGAAAGGCGGTGTTTCAGAATTTGATGCAGTAGGAGGTATTAGAGGAAATCAAAGAGGAGTTGTGCTTTGCACTGGAAAATTGGGTTGTGTAAATGATGGTATGGATGCTCAGCCAGAGGCGAGATCGGGGAGGTGGTATGTAAGTCCTCCTTATTAAATGGATGAGTCTAGTGCCGTTTTTTTAAGTGCAGTCGGAGTCGAAATTAAGGAGATCAGACCATGAAAATCAGTGCGCTCGCTTAGGTTATTTTTTTAAAAGTTAATGAAGTACATACAGATTTAAAAGGCCTTAATGAAATCTAAACAACTTTCTTTTACCTTCATGATTCAAACTGTACATCCATCTCAGCCATGGATGCTACGACATCCTTTTGCAGCCTAAAAAGGTAAGAGAATCTAGCGAGCAAATAAAGCTTGAATCCACAATTTCATGCCTTGCATTAATGAAAAGGGACAGACCTCTCCTTGGGCAACTAGGTTCTAAAAATGCAAATCCATGTGCAGAAAGAGACAGCAGTTTTTCTTTCTTTTTTAAAGTGCCATTAACAGTCACCTTCCACTCCCTTTTTCTAAACAAGCTTAGTGTTACTTGGGGAATGTGAGGAGCGATGATCACATGTAAGAGAGGAAGAGGTCAAAATGTTGAAGGTCAAAGGTAAGACCAGAGGGTTTGTGAATGTGTTTTTGGATGTGGGGAAAGTTACTAGAGAAGGAAACAGTAGTATTGCACACCTCACTGAGAAAGAAAGCATTCAGAGTGGCTGCAAAACACATCTCCACAAAGACTCGTGGTGTTCAGAAAACAGATTGTGAACACAATCACATGCGCATGAATCCTTTAAAAGGAAGGCCTGAAAGTATTTGCAAATCTGAATTTCTGTTTATTCCTTCCCTGAATATAGAAACAATGGTTATCTGATTATTAGAGAGATTATTTTGGATATGTTACTTATTAACTTGCTATGGCTGGTAACCATGATAAGTCTGTTATTGATAACAACATAATTCTTTTTTTTAAAAAAAAAGAAAAGCTTATTTTTCATTGACTGTGTATAGATTTATCTACTTAGTTGTGTTTGCTCTTAGTGTTTAAAATTTTTTTTTAAGTTGACTGTTCTGATAAATTTTAGGAGCCTGTCCTACCTTGTTTTGAGTCCTGTGTTGACTGCAGGTATACAGCTCAATTTAAAAACCCTAAAGCAAGAGAATTTTATTTATAAAAGAATCAAAACAGTTGCATGCATAAGGCTGTGAAGTCAGATATTTAGGAATAAAGCGGCAGTGCCTTTTTTTGTATTTACCCATCGACTCTCCCAAATGCAACTGTTTTATATAAGTAAATAGTAAATGATTTAAAAATCTCAGAATAAAATCTATTTCACTAGTTTCCCCCCCTCGTTCGGATTTGAGCAGTGTGTACTGGGCACCTCTACACGTCCCAGGGACTGTGCTGGTCTACAATATTGTTATCGTGTATGATGTTTTACTGGTGCTTTTTATTCATAGTGGTTTCTTACCAGAAACAGTAGGAAGACACACATGAACTGTGTTCAAGACATGAAACATTGCTGCTGATATGTTTTTTTCCACGTGCTTTTGAGTTTTACTTTTTTAACGAGAGCCAGCAAGCAAAATAGACACTGCTGGGTCTGCCTGCCAAGAGCAGCTGTTTGCACCAAGCTCTCAAATCCTGTCTACTGATGGCCCCTTTTTTTGGTACACAGGATTGGAGCGACAGCTGGGCCCCCTCTCCCATTCGTTCAAAGAGACACTGAGGGAAACCAGGTTTTCTTTTGAGGTGTCATTTGTCTGCCTTTTAGGGAATGGGAGCCTTCTCCGGGTCTTTTGTCCTTCTGCACCTCTTGTAGCTACTGCCGGTGCAAGGTTTGTAGACGTGTGCTCCCCAGGAGCCTGGGTTGGGGACCTGGGCTGGTCTGAATGCATAGGCATGCAACCAGAGGGCAGCAAGGAGAGGAAAAGCTGGCTCCAGCCTCTTCGGCCCTTTGGCAATGCCTGAAGCAATCACTGCAGCTTGGGTGTCGGGGAGCAGCCTCACCAAGGCACTCGGGTGTGCCTGTTACAAGGAGAACTTGCAGAAGGATCATTTGCACATGGAGCTGTGATAACACTAATGTTGATTTTTTTTTTTTTACAAGTCATCGGAAATGTTTGCAAAGTGAGTTTTATTTTTTTGTAATTCCTTTATCTTTACTTAAAGGTGAATGTGTATTCCTCTGGGAGGAATAGGAAGAAAACAGGAATGTTAATAATGTCAAACAGAAGACTTCCTCCCTTATTAATATATAACCCTCATGTATTTATGCCTAATGTAAGCTGACTTTTCAAAAGCGCTCTTTTGTTGCATGTCCCATGCAGGCACCCGTATTGTACATGCATGCCTTTTGTCCTGTTTTCCTGTATAAAGTTAGTGAACAAAGAAATATTTTTGCCTAGTTCATGTTGCCAAGCAATGCATATTTTTTAAATTTGTCATATATGGAAAGAGCATGTTTGTTACATGTAAAAGCTTTACTGATATACAGATATACTAATGTTTGAAGATGCTGTTCTTTGCAAGTGTACAGTTTTCAAATGTTGTTACCAGTGAAACACCCTCGTGGTTTAAACTTGCTACAATGTATTTATTACTCATTTCCTCCCATGTAACTAAGAATCATGGCTATATTTCATATCAACGTTATATTGAAAGTGAAGGGAAATGATTAATACAAGGTTTTGTAACACTGGTGTGTGTCTTGTTTTCTTTTTGTCAGCATGATCGATTGGAAAACAAGAATCTTAGAAATAAGCCAGCAGGGAAGAATGAGAATGAAATCCCTGTTAACTTTTCCCACCTGACCATTATACACAAAATATATCTTCAGCTGTGAGCTGCTTTTTTAACGAAAAGTCAGAGAAATAGGTGTAAAAATATATACAGTTTGATATGAGCCCAGAATAGCCAATAAATATGTCACCTGACTTAGAGATGTTTTCTAAAGAATTTTTTTTTAATTTAACTTTATTTTTAATTTGACCAGAGAGGGACAGAGTGAGAGACAGGGAGGGAGGGAAAGCAAGAAAGCAAGTCGCCCGGTCTGGGACGCAAACCATGGTCAGCCATGTGGGAGTCCAGCGCCCTTAACCACCATACCACCTGCCAGCCCCTGAGACATGTTTCTAAATACAAACTCTCACCTTGCAGATGCTTTTGCTTATCACTTGCTCTCCACCCTCACTGCCTTTGAAATATTTCACACCTTAATCACAACATAGAAACAGCAGCTCCTTGCTGACTTGAGGTTTTAACAAACACATGGCTTGACTCTCGTTCCAATACTTCTAATTCCAGTATGATATACATGAACGTAAATTCTAAATAGTGAGTCAGTTAAGCCTATTGCTGGAGAGATGGGCCTGGCTCCAGCACGCTCTAGCCGTGTGATCGCAGACAAGTTACTTACCCTCTCTGAGCCTTGGGTTTGTTGGTTTTTTTGGCCCGTGATATTCAAAGTTTATGTGACATTTTCTTATTTTAAAAACGGTAAAAAGAAAACAGGATGCAGAAGTTACTGCCACCACAAGCAAGCAACCAAAGACTTTTCTGAGACAGCCACATTGGACAGTGTGACAATGACCACACGGTGACTTCCTTTCAACCAGGCTCAGCTACTCCAGAGACATACAGAATCCAAAATGGTCCCTGGAGACCTAAAGGAGGGCCTTACAAGCCAAGATGTAAAATGAAATTCCTCCTAATGTTGAATTCTTTTTAACCCAAACGAGCTCTCAGAACATGACGGTAGTATTATCCAGGAAAGAGAGAAGTGTATGAGTGACAATTCGAGCCTCACTTTGAAATGGGCAGAATGAGGGTCACCGGGGAAGTTGAGATTAAGGGGAGGGACATGAGGGTCTCCACATGGTGCCTGAAACAGGGCTAGTTAGCGGTTTTTATCGGCAAAGGTGATTTTTCAGTAATAACTGCCAGCCACCTTTGTAAAGGAATGTTCAGTCCTGGAGAAGGTTACTCATAGAGGAAGGCTTTTAAGATTCCTCCTGACAACCCCCCTTCCCAAAAGAGATTAATTCTGCTTAATAAAAGGGGATGATTAACACGTCTGCACGTAATGGCTTGGGATGGGGAGCAAAGGGTTCCAGCCAAGAATCCAGAGGGCACAGGTGGGTCTTCGCAAATCACACCATTCCTAAGACACAAGCCAACGGGGCAGTGCAAGGGGGAGTCCAGACTGGAAGTGCTGGGTTTGTGGGTATACCAGACTATAGTGATTCCCCAAAGGCTGAGAGGAGAAGTAGCACTTTTACCAGCAAAAATCTCACCCATAACCAGAGCCTACTTCTCTAGGAAACGTAGAGCCTTCAGGGTTGAGCTGACCTGCCCAGCAGCACGGTTGTGGGCCCAGCCCACAGGAGCCATTTCCCGTTCCCCAGCAAGCAACACTAGCACACTGCACCCCGACACCAATCTCACCGATCCACAGTTTTCTAAAGCATTTCCACTTTCTATTTTCCATCTGCACATCCCAGCAGTTAGAAACCCCACATACACACACACCCTTTTCCCTGGGCTCTGTAGCCTCTAGGTCCTCAGCGGTAGCCCTGGGATGCCCTGGCTCACTCAGTGCTTCTCAAACCATCTGTGAATTCCAGTTGTGGTACTGGTTAACTTCCAATTCATACAGTTCAATTCATTTGTAAAGTACAATAAAAAAGTAAAATCCTTACAACCCTAATTTTTAGACTTTACAGACAAAATCATTTTGTCAGACCAGTGGGTGATGTGGTGGTTAAGGCACTGGATCCCACATGGCTGAGTGCCTAGTTCAAGTTCCATACCCGGTGGCTTGAAAAACACAGGTGTATGCACTCCCCAGATCTCAAGAGGAGAGTGGAGGAGAGGGAATTTCTGCATGGTCATCCCCTGGATGGTGATTTCTCACTTCCCCTCTGTCTGTGTGTCTCTCAGATAAGCACACACACCCTATGGCAAAAATCTAAAAATAAATAAAAATTTTAAAAATCATTTTGTCAGGACCAGCAGACAGCATAATGGCCTCATCGCTGGACTCCCATGTAGTCGACTTCAGCTCACGCTGGGTGCGTGTGTGTGTGTGTGTGCCCAAGATCCCAAGAGGAGAATGGAGAAGAAGGAATTGCAGTGTCGCCATCCCCCCTTGGGGATGATTTCTCACGTTCTGTCTCTCCTTGTCTTTCTGGCAAGCACACATGCCCTATAGCAAAAATCTCTCAAAAAAAAAAATCATTTTGTCAGATTACTATAATCCTATTCTGGCTCCCTAACCTCAGGGTAGCCTGCAAAAATCACTGTGGGAGATTACCCTCCAGAAGAGACCATGGAAACCCTATGTCCACCTCCCCCTAACTCAGGACAATAACATCCTCAGTGTGGCAGAGAAGCGACCATCAGGTCTGAGGAATGCGTAGAAGTTGGCCCAGAATGGTGAGTAATCTCACTAGCCACTTCTAAGAGCTGAAAATAAAATAGTAAAGGGGACAAGGAAGAGGAAGCTACAGTAGCAGCGGGACTGCTGAGGTCTCTGGAATGGGTCAGGCTAGAGAGCCCTGTTTCCAGAGCAACCCTTAGACTATGGTGCTGACCTCACCCGCTCTCAGATTCTGGCCTGGATCAAGGGTGGAGGTGGCTTCTCTGTTTATATCTGTCTGTCTATCTACACTTTTGGGACACAGGTGTGTGGAGCAGGAAAAGGGGGTGACTAGGAAATTAGAAAACCAGGGCAGAACTTGCGCGTGCCACCCCAGTCATCGCTGAAGAGCGCCCTCCCCAGCCTGGTCCAGCGGCTCCCTCCGGCCCCCTCTTCTCCACAGACACTGACTTCTCTGTGGTGGAAACCCGGGAACTCCCCATCTGAGAATTTCCTCCATGGAATCCTTCTCACTCTTAAGTGGTTTCAACTTCAGTTTTTAAAACCGACGGAGAAATATTTTGGCAGCCTTAGAAAGCCTGTGCTTTATTTAAAAGACCACTTTGTGTTGACATGTACCCTGTGCTGGCTCAGGGTACGTGGTTTTAAATAGTGTGTTGCATAGCTTTTTGAGGTTTTGCTTTTTATTTATTTTTTAAGTTCAATCCAGGAGAAACAGAATTGGAACTTCGGTGGGGGAAGCACTCCGTCCACACTCTGTCCAGAGCTGAAGGACGTGAGACAGCTGAGCAGTCCATGAAGCCTGCAGGGGCCACAGCGAGAGCTGGGTGCCCCCCTCTGCTCCAGTGTCCTTGGGAGGTGTTTCCAGTTTTCCATGCCATGAAATTATTAACCAGGCTAGTTAAGTCAAATAAACCTACAAAGCCCCCAAACTAAACTGTCTAACTAGATCTCACCACTTTGCCATTTCTTTTTAATTTGCCGGAGGGTGCATGTGCTCACTGGAGAGAGACAGAGAGAGGGAGAGAGAGGGAACATGAGAAAGTACCCCATGAGGCATGTCCTATCAAGACCACCTCTCCATCTCTCTCTCCTTTTGGGAGCCTGGGCATGCACGCACGTGTTCCCAGAGTCCAGGACTCCAGCTGTGCAGCCAGCCATGGGGAATGCGGCCACCTTAATCACCATGCCGCTGGCTGCCCCACTTTGCTTTCTGTTACGTTTAGCCCAAATGTGATCACTGGAAAGCGGCTAAACATTGATTTCCTGTACCTGGCAGTCTCTTTTAGCACTGTCTACAACTCTGTGCCCATGCAAGATGGAATACGCACAAGGACAGCAAACCGTGGATGGGAGAAATAGCAGGCATGTAGGAGAACAATCGCTCCCCTCCATCCATTGCCAGATGCGCCAGCCCAACCAGTCTCAGGCCTCCAGACTTCCCCTCGACCCTGTGCTCCGAGAGGTCTGAGCTACTT